CCAACATGAACAACATACAAGAGCTTGGGACATGGTGTATTTATAGGCTCCATTAGGGACCTTAAGGAGGTGCTAAATATGGGCTTATCCCATTAGGCCAAGGAATCCTACTAATCATCACCTTCTAGAAGACTCTCAAGCCTCCTAACCTTAGACAATATTCTAGTAGGAATATTTCCTTCCTCATGTAATAATAAATATGAATAAAATTAATTCCTTATTAAATGGAATTAAATAATAAAATATCCCAATAGAGTAATATTATTGCTCTCCCATTTAGCTCCTAATTTATCAATAAATTCGAACCTCTATGATTAATTATATTAATCTGATTGATCGATTTACCTTTTATGTTTAAGATATAACGTCCGTAGATTAATTAAATTACTGACAAAATAATTAATCAACTTCTTATTCATTTCTGAAATTAGTACCACTCAGATTATTAACCATTATTTCAGACAATCGTCTACCTACAGGGTATAACATAATGTACCTTCCTGAGCTCATTTCGGGGACGTCATCAATCCAGCGCACTGAAACATAGTGACCATAAATAATTTATAATAACACATCATATAATCATTCTCATTTACCAAAATACCTAGTATGTCATCCTAATAAAAGTAGGAATCGCTTAGTAAATCAAATAAACAAGAAGTGAATATATATGTCTATTTTATATTATCTTACAGCTTAAGAGAATGCATCAATCACCGAAGGTCTAGATTACAACAACGATAAGTGAGTTTCATAATCTTATCCTTCTATGGTCCAATTCAACACCTATCATAAGTGTTTATGTAATTATTCAGTCAAAGACCAACTGAATCAAGAATACACTACAGTCCTTTTCCAAAAGGGGTCTCACTGCCTGTCTAGACTGTGAACGAATAGTTTAGTCTTATAAGGAACTGATAGGTGATCTTTCTGTTCGAAACACTTCGAACCACACTATCTCAATATAAGATAAGGAGTATGATTTGCATAAATAAACAAACTGTAAACATTTGTACTTTGACTTAAACATGATGGCCAGATCAAAATGAAATTGATAGAATCTGCAAAACATAGCTTTTACAACATATCTCTAACATTAGCTTTCATATTTCTCTTTGTCATTTGTTTTCTTTTTATTGCATCAATGGCATGAGATTCGATAGTTCAATTTTGCTACTTGCTCGTTAGTTGCTATCGCTCATAATTATTTGCTCGTCTAGTGTTAATTCAACTTCGAACCAATTAATTAAAATGTTTAGAGTTTATTTTCTCTTTTCGCGACCCCGTGAGCTGCGCAGGCCCAGCAGAGCTGGTCTTCTTCCCCAAATCGCCAGTCACTGCGAGCCACCGTGAGTCGCCACCTCCTCTGGCCAACATGCTCCGATCATGGCGAATCTTATATCAACGCAAATCTCTCGTCGGTGCCGACAACATATCCGAGTTTCAAGGAAAAGTTCCAGCAAGAAGGCTTCTGATTTCCAGCCAAAGCTCGTAGATCTACAAATCACTTCAACCTTCAAGTTAAAATTCCCGGCTCACTTGAACCCACCGAAATCTGAAGGTACCCCCGGACTCCTCTTGCCGAGGCGCATCTTTTTTTGCCACCGTTGCCGAATCCGGCGAACTTTTCTGGCGACTAGTTTTTCCAACGAATGAACACCCATCGAGCCTTTGGTTATTATTTTTCAGCTTTTCTAGTAACATACGATCGACTCCTTGCTTTTGGTACATTTTTCAGCGACCGGAGCTCCCACTTTCATCTATCTCTCTATTTACGAACTCCGGCAACCGTTTTTCTCGGCATTATTCGAGGTACAATGGCTTGAACTCGCTTTGTATTTCCGTATTTTCATTATCTTCGTTGTGCTTGGATTACTGCTCTTGCCAGGTGTTTATTGTGTTTTTGTGTTTATTTTTATATGTTTTTTTGTGTTTTCGAGTTGATTCTAGGATTATTTTTAGTGTCGACCGGTCCATTTTCTCGTTTATCGTGAGTTTTTATGTTTTC